AGTGCATTGTGTCACTCAGCCCCCCCACCACCACTCGTTCCGTGACAGCTCTGCCATCCAGCCAGTTCCTAATCCACCTCACTGTGCACTCATCTATCCCACACTTCCGGAGCTTGCCCAGGAGGATGTTGTGAGGGACGGTGTCAAAAGCCTTGGTGAAGTCGAGATAGACGACATCCACCGCTCTCCCCTCATCTATCCAGCCGGTCATTCCATCATAGAAGGCCATCAGGCTAGTCAAGCAAGATTCCCCCTTGGTGAATCCATGCTGACTACTCTTGAGCACCTTCTTGTCCTCCATGTGCCCTGAGACAATAGCCAGTATGAGCCATTCCATCAGTTTTCTGGGGATCGAGGTGAGGCTCACTAGCCTGTAGTTGCCTGGGTCCTCCTTCTTGCCGCCTTTGAAGACTGGTGTGACATTGGCTTTCTTCCAGTCCTCTGGCACCTCCCCCATTCTCCAGGATCTTTGAAAGATGATGGAGAGGGGCTTAACTATGACCTCTGCCAGCTCACGCAGCACTCTGGGGTGTATCCCATCAGGGCCCCTGGATTTGTGGGTATCGAGTTTCCTTAGGTGCTCTCTGACTCAATCTTCCTCTACCCAGTGCAAGTCTTTCTCTCTCCAGGTTTATTCTCTTGTCCCTAGGGCCTGGGGCTCTAAAGGGCTGCCCTTGGTAAACACCGAAGCAAAGAAGGCATTCAGCAACTCTGCTTTTTCTGTGTTATTTGTAACCAGGGTGCCCATCCCGTTCACCAGCGGACCCACATTTTCCCTGGTCTTCCTTTTGCTGTTAATATATTTGAAGAAGTTTTTCTTGTTATTTTTAACGTCTCTTGCCAGATTGCGTTCCAAACGTGCCTTGGCTTTCCTTGTCGCATCCCTGCATTCCCTGACAACTTTCCTATATTCCTCCCAGGGGGCCTGTTCTTTTTTCCACTTTCTGTACACCGCCTTTTTCTGTTTGAGTTTTGCCAGCAGCTCCTTGTTCATCCACACAGGTCTCCTGCCCCCTCTGCTTGACTTCTTACGCAGAGGGATGCACTGTTGCTGCGCGTGGAGGAAGTGCTGCTTGAAAACTAACCAGCTCTCTTGGGGGCCCCCCTACCTTCTACAGCTCTAGCCCATGGGATTCTTCCAAGGAGGTCTCTGAAGAGGCTAAAGTTGGCCCTCCTGAAGTCCATGGGTGCAAGGCTACTTACAGCTCTGCCACCTCCTCGTTGGATCCTGAACTCCACCAACTCATGGTCACTGCAGCCAAGGCTACGCCCCACCTTCACATCTCCTACAAGTCCCTCTCTATTTGATAGCACGAGGTCCAGTAGCCCACCTCTTCTCGTTGGCTCCTCCACAACCTGCGTCAAAAAGTTATCGTCGACGCTCTGCAGGAACCTCCAGGACTGTTTGTGCCTGGTTGTGTTGTCCTTCCAGTTGATGTTGGGGTAGTTGAAGTCCCCCATGAGAACCAGGGCCTGTGACTGGGAGGCAATATCCAGCTGACTATAGAAGGCCTCATCAACCTCCTCGTCTTGGTCAGGTGGCCTGTAGCAGACACCCCCC